ATATTAACTTGTTTGGTCAATTTAGTGTGATGTGCTATGAGAGAGAGACTTGGATCAAATAAGGGCATTACCACATAAGATAATTAGGAACCACTTAGATCTGTTTAGAAAGATTCAACAGTTTCAAATCAGTGAAAGATAAAAAAAAATGATTATATTTTCTTAAATAACTCAAACTTTAAAGTGCAATAAACAATCCTATATCACAACTAACAACATCATAAAATGCACCCACTATATGTATTATTGTAGTGAACAAATTCACTATGTAATTTTGTTTAGTTGTACTTTATATTGTTACTAGTTTATTTTAAAGTTTGAATTATTTACAAAAGTATGTACTACAACATTTTTCAGTAGATGCATTATATAGCTTTGGCTTAATTGCACTCTATATGAAAGCTAAGCTCTATAATTAAGACTTAAGAGGAGGGACCTTAAGTAGGAATGTAATCATATTATCTTGAAATATTATCAGTACATCAAAGTTGAGGTAATATAAAATTATCAAGATAATCTCGTAACTTAAACAAAACAATATAATATAACATTATTATACTCACATTACTTAGTTAATCTTAAATGATTTGAACAACATTAAAAGTAAGTTTAGTGTGAATTATGAGTAAAACTTACCAGTTGTTATTATTATTATTATTATTATTATTATTATTATTATTATTATTATTATTATTATTATTATTAGAGTATTTGATGATGACTAAACCTTACCTAAGAGTTATTAAAAGAATAAAAAAAATATTATTGTGAATTATGAGTAGAATTTACGAGCTTTATATTATTAATATATTCAGATTATAGTATTTGATGAGGAGTAAATAAGGATTGATTTCCCATCAATTTTCAAATGAATGCTGCCAACCAACTTCTACTGAACCATAGCACATTTGATGGATTGTCATAGATTAAGTTTAGGAATACTGAAATTTTTATTTTAAAATGAAAATCGCAACAATTGTACTCCGTATGATTTTTAATAATAGGCGTACATTACCCAACTAACTAAAAGAAGATAATGGAGTCATAATAAGTGTAATGATGAAGGGCAGATAGTAAGTAAACATTAATGTCCCACCAACAAGGCAACAAATACAAATTGATGATGAGTAACTAGTAGCTTTAAACTCAGCGTCACACCACCACACCTACATAAGATTAATATATACTTTTGTTCCGCTGTTTGCATACACGTATATTTTAATTTTCTTCAACTTTTTATATTTCAAAAAAAAAAAAAATCTGCAAAAAACCAAGTACGTAGGTAGAGTAGTTATAATGAAACAGAAGATTTGTTGCAAGTGAAGAGTGAAGACGACTGAGTGTCAGTCTGTCGCTGACTAATCAATGAATCTGGGTGGGCGAAGCAGAGAGTGACATACGCTACGCCGTCCCTATTTGCGTAAAGTCATTAAAGGGGGCGTAGGTGTAGCAGTGGCAGGGGACATCAGCTTTAACCTTTACTTTATTGCTTTTCTCCGCTTTCCTCTCTTTCTTTCAATCATGCCCCTCAATACTCTTCCGTTACTAATTTCTACATCGGTAAACGTCTCAATTAATTTCTACTTCAATTATGATACTCATTTCAGTTCCAATACTATACTTACTATACAGAGAATAATCATATTTTGAGCTTACGTACTACTCATTTTTCAAACTTCATTTAATTTCTTCTCCTTTTCATCCAATTTCTCGTGGAGGAGAATATAATGGCAAGCGGCTTTGTCTCGTCGGAGGAGGAGGATGAGTTTGATGCGGGAAGCGATGGCTACAGCATCAGCGCCGACGTCAGCGAGTCGGAGAGCTCCACCACCAGCACTACCTTTTCCTGCGGTCGCCACGTCCCTTCTTCCTCTCTTTCCACCACCCCACTCGCCGCCTTCTACTCCAATTCTAATTCTCCGCCGCCGGCTCCGATCATGTTTCCCGCCGTCGTCGGTGGCAGACACGTCCTCATTCCCACCATGAAGCCCCCTAAATCTGAAACAGAGATGTCAGGTAAAAAATCCATGTAGCTAAGCTGCATCTAAATTGACTTTTTTTGCGTTAATCTCGGTCATGAATGGAGACTTGCAGCAACACCAACTAAATTGTCATGTTTTTATTGTCTGGCTTAAGATTTGAGAGAGCATGTAACTATTTTATGTTTTATTCTGCTGCTTGCAGAAGTTGAATTGATGAAAAATCGGTTTGCAAAGCTGTTGTTAGGGGAAGATATGTCTGGTGGAGGAAAAGGAGTGTGCACTGCTCTTGCTATTTCTAATGCTATTACAAATCTTGCTGGTACTTAATTTTAGCAGTTGGTTTCAATTCTGCATCTCATGTTTGAGTTTAGGATGAAATGTAATTGTTAAATAAGCTGCGATTTTGGATTTCCAACAATTTGGCAGCTTCAGTGTTTGGTGAACTCTGGAAATTGGAACCATTGGCACCGCAGAAGAAATCAATTTGGCGGCGAGAGATGGAATGGCTTCTCTCTGTCAGTGATTCCATAGTGGAGCTTGTTCCCTCAATGCAGGAATTTCCTAATGGAGGAACCTTCGAGGTTATGGTGCCTCAACCACGCTCAGACCTATACATCAATCTTCCAGCACTCAAAAAATTAGATGCAATTCTTATAAACATCTTGGATGGCTTTCACAACTCTGAATTTCGCTATGTTGACCGAGGAGTAGTTGTTGCTGATGATGATGGAGAACAGATTGAAACATGCCCTCGTTCTCTGTCCTCTCATAGGCCTTCGATTAGGCTTGAAGAGAAATGGTGGTTACCATTTCCAAAGGTCCCACCAATTGGTTTGTCTGAAGAATCAAGGAACCAATTGCTTCAATGTAGGGAGTGCACCAGCCAAATTTTCAAGGCTGCTTTGGCAATAAACACTAGTGTACTGTTTGAGATGGAAGTGCCGAAAGTTTACATGGAGAGCTTGCCCAAGGTAAGGACTACTTTTGAATAATTAATTGATTTGGCTCAAGTGATGATATTCTTTTCTTCACTCACCCAAGTATTCCTCCTTTTCCCCTTAAACATTGTACACAATATAAACACAAGTGAAAACAATACTACGGAGTATTATTTTTCCACCCACTGTTCTAACCCCTGGTTCCAGCCTAGAACCACTACCAGACCTTAAACAGGTTTTACATCCTTTCCTTGTACACCTTTTCTGATTTTGTTCAAATTTCAATATTTTGCTTGTAAATTTTCAGAGTGGAAAAGAGTCTTTAGGTGAAACCCTCTACAGTGACATTACTACTGGGCAGTTGTCCCCAGAATGCCTTCTTGATTACTTGGACCTATCATCAGAGTATACAGCTTCAGAAATTGCTAATAGAATTGAGGCCGCAATGCATATCTGGAGGCAGAAGCACAGAAAGAAGCAATTGAATCCAGCGAAAAGTGGAAAGGCATCATGGGGAGGCACAATGAAAGGTCTTGTTGGTAACAAGGAAAGGGATAAAATGTTATCAGAACGAGCTGAGGCCATCCTTAGGAGCATGAAGCTAAATTTACCTGGGCTCCGGCAGACTACATTGGACATGCAAAAGATTCAGTATAACAGGGTAAGTCTTTTAAGTTATACAGCATCCCTTCATCTATGCCAGCCTCTTGATAAAATTACTTCAATTATTTGTGAATGGCGGTATACCTCTAACCTCTTGATCCATATAAACCTTTTTTCTAGAAAGTATAGGGCCACACCTGCAATGCAGATGATGTTATCAGATCTGAGAAAGTGAGAACAATGATCTGTGGTGCTATATAAGGGCTGCCAAGTAATTAAATTGCGAGAGGGCTGGGGAGGGGGAATAGGGATACTGAGGCTAAGCCAGCTAAACCATTTTAAAGTTTTTGACTATGCGACTTCTGTCTATTTACAGCATCAATTCTTTGACCAAAGCTTGTAATCTTTATTTTGCAATATCTAAACCATGAAGCCAGATGTACAAAATATAAAAATATTATGTTCATTTTCATGTAGGATGTCGGGCAATCAATCCTTGAGAGCTATTCTAGGGTGTTGGAGAGCATAGCCTTCAACTTAATGGCAAGGATTGATGATCTATTGTACATAGATGATGCCACAAGACGACGTGTTGCTGCAGAGTCATCTATGCTGAATCGGAGAGGATGGGGTGCATGTTCTCTGCAGAGGCAGGTTTCTTCTGGCTCACTTTCATACCAACGAAAACCTAGTGCCCCTTTACCAACAGACCAGGCGTTCCGTCCTTCAGCCTCATTAGTTGATGTCTCCAGGAGAACACATAATATGCAAGCCAGAAGGTAAAGTATAGTTAGGAGAGTATTAGGTGTGGTGCCACTGCCACTGACGTCATACCTTAACAAAGGACTCAATGTACTTCTATATACCTGCATTTTCATGTTTTGGCCAAGCAATTAAATGCATTATAACTAAGTACATGTATATTACTATACAATTCGTTCAAGCTAGAGGACTGCGGATTGGATGGTTCATCTAAATTGCATCTTGTAAGTCTATTGTACTCTTTTGCTTAGATCAGTGTGTTAACATCAACTCACTGCACGATTTGTAATAGCGATTGTCTCATTTCATAGTGCATCCATCACTGCAGCATTTTTTCTGAATAGCTATTAGCTAGGGTGTCTTCACATTACTGGTACCTTAGCTTGTGAAACTCACATTTATTTATAAAAAGATTAACATGATTTGTGAAAAATATTTGAGGAATATAATTGAAATTCTATGAAAAATTACTAAAAAAATTAATTCCCTTGTTTGGTTGGTGGAAAAATAAATTACTAACGATATAGATTTCATTATTTAGTTGAACTTAGAATTGTAAAGAATAATAAATATAAAAAAACGTTGTTAAAAAGAAGAAGAATAAAACAAAATACTTATTACTGTAAAAGACACGAGTGTTGTGATGAAGAAGCATCATGATAAATAAGCATTTAATTAAATTCAAAATGCAGATGAAATAACTTACTCCTACCAGTTTCTTAAATTTTAGGCCGTCAACTTGTTATTTAGATAAGAAGATTGGTTTTGATTATCTTAATCGATCTGTTGCGAGCAGGAATGAAAAAAGAAGTACATTACATGTTCAATATTGTTTCAATTTTCATGAGTCGAGAATTTACAGGTTGATGATATCGATCTTAGCTTGTGTCGCTGGCTGGCTCGATCACTAGCAATTAATAAGGAGCCATCATCATCTTCAATTCTTCTTCTTGTCTCTGTACTCCTTCAATTCCCTCTGGTATCTCTCCTTGTCTTTCAATCCATAGTTCTGATAGACCTACACGTACACACAATGCAAAACGTATCCTTAATTAGCTAGCTTTGTGTTATTAATTGGCTTAGCTAGCTAGGTAGCGATAGGAAAGGGGAGCGGAATCAATATAATCTAATACTCACTACTCTTTGTTCAGCGCTGAGATTGTTCCAAGACTCTCCAATCATTTTTGTGAACTCCCTCTCTCGGGTTGGGTAGAGAGACTTGAGCACGGAGTGCTTTTCAGCAAAGAAAAAGTTGTATCCACTCCTGTTGGGCTTTGGGCGAAAGGGGTCGCCGCCACTGCCTTTCTTCTTTCTCCTCCTCCGGGTCCGGGGGGTTTGAGTTTGAGGAGGAGCGACATAAGGTACAATAGCAGTGCAGCTGGGACTTTGGTGGTAAAGAACCCCGTTGAGAACCTCGGATCCCAGTTTCATGGACACCAAATAACCACACTCGAATTTCCCATCAATGGTTCCGGTAGCTTGAAAACAAGAATTATGATCAAGTAATAAGCCCTCCTGAAGCCTGAAAAAATAAAGCTGCTCGAATCGAAACAGCAAGCTGAAGTAGTGTTTCCTCAGTGCGTAGGAAGCGCTTGTCGTGGTGGGAGAAAACTGGAATACTCCGCTCACCTCCCTCCACTTCTTCTCCGACACCACCTACCTTTTCAAACACATCTATTATCCCTAGCTCCCTAAGCTACTTAATTATTACCAAATCGATCAATATGTAGTGTAGTGTATAGAGTTGACGACGACGCACCTGATTGTAGCCGCCTCTTCTGGTAACCTCCACGTATAGAACGTGTAAATCAAGCTCTTTCCCTCCAATGATAGGGACCCTATATAGCTCCTCAAACAACAAACACAAATAATTTATTTTTATTTATAAACATAAGGAGTACATTTGAGTTGAGCAGAGTAACTTACATACACTTGGTCCCCATCACACCGTGAAAGCCCTTGAGAGTTTCCCAGAAAAGAGTGGAGTCCTTGACGACGTCGTCATGGGATGCCAATGGCGAAGGGAGTGTATTGGTACCGTCCATTCCGCAGCGCAGCCGGTCTCGGCGTCGGAAAATATATAAATAAAGAAACGACAAGCTAAGAGATAGATATAAATGAATTGAAGAGGCCTGCGGGCCTTAATTGCCTCCGGGATGTAAGTAATGAGAGGAGAGGCCGAGAGGGAGATAGATAGACAGATATATAGATAATTCCAAGATAGGCTAGCCGCTACTACTCCGTAATACGGAGCAATAAAAAAGCAAGTCTGGGCGGGCAGAGAAGGAAATGCATGCCACAATTAAAGACCACATAGGTTCGGTCAGAGATTTTGAGACGCATGGGGTGGGGGAGGCAACGGTTATGCCACACTATGCCCTGTTTGCTAAAATAATTAGCATATAGTTCAATTTTGATTTATTTAATCACTATTAATTATTTGATTTAGTTTTAAAAAAATAATATAAATATTTAGTTAATTAATTTTTTGTACTTCAAAATGTTAAAATTTAAAAAACTATTCAAAATAATTTTTTCAATTAACTTTCAGAGAAAAGAAATTATATCAAACAATTATCAGCTAACAACTAATTTATCAAATACTTAATGTTATCAACTAGTTATACTATCTAATTAACCCAATCAGATAACAGCTAACAACTATTTACCAAACAGAGCCTATATTATGGTCCTGTTTGAGTGTTTGGTAAAAAATTAGCCTATAGGTCAATTTTGGCTTATTTGACCAATATTAATTGTTTGATTTAGTTAAAATATCAATATAAGTATTTAGTTAATTAGCTTTTTGCAATTTCAAAATGCTAAAATTCAAAAAACTACTCAAAACAATTTTTTCAATTAGCTTTTTGAGAAAATAAATTATACCAAACAGCTAATTTACCAAACACTTTTCTACAATAGATAATGTTATCAACTAGTTATACCATCTAATTAACACAATCAGCTAACAGCTATTTACCAAACAGGATATATATATATATATATATATATATATATATATATATATATATATATATATATATATATATATATATATATATATATATATATATATTGGCCCTGTTTGGTAAAATAGTTAGCCTATAGGCTAATTTTAACTTATTTGATCACTATTAGTTATTTGACTTGGCTTAAAAATCAATATAAATGTTTGGTTAGTTAGTTTTTTGTACTCTAAAATGCTAAAATTCAAAAAATTACTCAAAATAATTTTTTCAATTAACTTTTTGAGAAATGCAATTATATCAAACAACTATCAGCTAACAGCTAATTCACCAAATATGTTTTTACAATCAGCTAATGTTATCAACTAGTTATACCCTCTAATTAACCCAATCAACTAACATTCATTTACCAAACATGGCCATTATATATTATTCCACTAACCATAATCATATTTCATTTTGTGCGTATTTCCATTTTTTTATTTATTTAAATAAATACTCACTTATTATATACGAAAATTTTTAAAGTTAAACTTGAAAAAAAAAATCTGAAACTATAATAATATGATTAAAGTGTGTGGATATTCTAATTTTTACATTCACTTAATCACTACAAAATCAAATATAAAATCATTCTAAAATTGCACATTAACAATATTACAACTAGCCAAGTTATAGCTTACCTTATAAAAGAATAAAGAAGAACAAGTTAAAATGAACATTTTTATATGAATTATAATAATATCATTTTGTAATATAATTTACCAGCTAGTATTACAAATATTATATATAAATTTACATGCATATAAAATATATTTAATGTGATCCATTAAGTTACTCAAAAATTGTTGTTGAAAGTGGATTTACAATGAAGTAATAGTGTAATCAATTTGGTTGGCATAAGTGGTCGTACACTTACCTCCCTTAATAGAGTTTTAGAGTTCAAAAAAAAATTTATTATAAAAAAAATTAATATGACTAACACTTTGCTTTTTAATTAGGCCAATTTGGTGCCAACATGTATTAATTTGAGTATGATATTTTTAAACACTGATTTTAATTGCAACTGAATGTAAAATTTTAGAAGAAATAAACATTAAAATTTTGATAAATACTTTTATGTCATCTAATTATCTCTTTAATCTGAAATACTTTTAATCGGGAAAAAAATTTATTACTGTGTAACCCTGAGTCTCTAACAAATCCAGGTTGTAAAGTAAACTTTTTTCTGGGAATAATTACTATGCATTTAAGTTTAGATAACTGTGTCAATGTTATGTCATAAGCAATATTTTATGATACAAATATCCAATGGGTATTGTCCTAAGAGCATCCACAGCAATGTATAATAGGGAGATAATAGTACAATAATATGCACTTCAACTGATGGGAAGTAAAGATAATATCAAAAATAATCTTTCTGCAAATGCCAAGATAATGGCAGAAAAAAGAAAGAAAAAAAAAAAAAAAAGATAAGCGCGCTTTAGCGCGTTTCGCGCAAAATGAAGAGAAAGCCGGGCGCATGCGTTGCACGCGTCTGTTTACATTGCTTTTTTATTTTAAAAATTTCAGTTTTTGGTTTTTTTTTTTTCTTTTTCTTTTTCTCTCCCCTCCCACACTCTCTTTCCTAATCACTCTTACATTATCCCCCAATTCTCCCCAACTGATGTGGATGCTCTAAGTCCCAACTGCGTTATTACACTAGCTCCTGTTTTAAAAAGAAAAAGTAAAACTTCGCCACTATATATATTCATTCAAAATGTGTTTGTTTTGATAATATGGTGGAGCGTATTTTGTTTTTGAAAGTTTAAAATGCGTATTGAAAAATATTAAAAACTTTATTTGAGTCTTGCAATTCAAAATTTTGAACTTAACAAAAAAAAACTTTTGAATCAATAAATCAAACAGCTCGAATAGACTAATTCAAAATTGAATGGGTTAATTTATTGACATCCCTACTATAATCTTTGGTGTCCGTAGGTGATTTATAAGGTTGCATTAATTGGTATGACTTTATCGTTTCTCAATAAAAGTTAATTTGTTTGAATTGATGTCAGGACATGGAGGCACAGTTGAGCCTTTCAAAAATTGAGTGGTTGAGATTGCTTAGAGGAATTATCTTATACTTCGATTGGGTTTTATAATGCTTATGCTCATGGTCGTTATTTATCCTTATCGCCTTCCCAACGGTGCACCAACTAGGTACACAGTTTTCTATTTATCTTCTCTTTAGTTCCGATAATAATATATGAGTTTTCTTTTTAAATGATATTATCATAATAATAATTTTGAAATTATATAATTTTAAAACCAAACATACATAGTACTCCGTATTAAAAGAAATGCTGGAAAGCATGGTACAAAAAATGATGTTTAAGTAATAAGAGCCAAAGAGAGTTAGGTCTATAATGGGTAGAAAAATGATGGTCAAATTTTTTAATCAAATGAATGACTCAGATTGATCAGGTTTTAATTTTTCTTTTAGATTTCATAATCTATCCTTAATTATATGATTATCCGTTAACTTTTCCGTTAAATACTATCTTTCTTCGTTAATTTTTGTTAGTTCACCGTTAACTTACTCATTGATTTCAATAAGAAAGGTCGTAGGTTCGAACCCTATCACAACCAAAGTTGGCATAATTAGTTATAAGAGAAATAATTTCATTAGTTATATTGTCTTTATTTTTCTCCAATATAAAAATTCTTTACATTCAAATCTATCAATTGATTATATTCTCTAGTATACATTGTCCCTACAATGTCTTTATTCAAAGAAAATTGAGTTAATACCCAAAATCGTCGGGGGTTCTACCGGGAAACCATGGATTTTTGAGTTTTCGCCGGGCGATTCGGGTGAGATCCAATGTAGATCCAACTTTCGATCACTCGTGGGATCCGGGCGGTCCGGGAGGGATTGTCTCCAGACTGGGAGATCGCGCTCACAATAATGCCGGAGTTATGTTCTTTATTTCTCGTCTAGCAGAAACTAATCGAGCTCGCAGAAGTAGGACCAAACTGAGAGTTAGCAGCCGGCCCGACCAAACACTGAAAGCCAGGTCCGGGCAAGCTATATTAGCGTAAAACAAGACTGAAGTCCCACTCACCCCTCGTAGAGTGGCGTCTTTTCTTATCAAAGAATTTCTCCGGTGCGTCCACAGAAGAGGAAATCGCAATGCATCTCTTTTTCAATATGGGTCTCAATCAATAGAAAGTAAGGAACTCGCCCTTTGACACCAAGGGATAAAAGCGGATTGCTGGCCCTTAATGCCCCCTCAACAGCGTATGGAAGAGTTAGGGCATCGCCCTTTTTATCAAGAAGGGTTTGGAGATTGGCTGAAATAGCGCTCTTCGATCGCTAGATTCTTGCGATATACTGTTTGAGCCTTAGTGGAGGCGTTATTGGTTCTTTGTGTTTCAATAGGTTGAGAAAGTATATGAACAGATACTACATTGTAATAGAGCCAGTAACATTCAAAAAAATTTTTTTACTACATTTAAATTCCTTAAATTAAGAATTTCTTTATCCATAATAATTTATTCAACAATAATGATTTAACTAAATGAACACTGAGCAAAACACCTAAAGGACTAGTACCATTGATTCATTCATTGATCTTGTATATATGTGCATTCATTAAATATATTAGAACCTTTGCAACAAAAATAACAATTATAATGAATCTCGTATATTACATTGTATTCATATATTATGAATTACATATTTAAATAAATAAATTCGACATTAAATTACTTATATATGAACTTCTCATATATAATCTTGCATTGATATACTTTCAAATATTTATTTAATTATAAACATTGAACATTAATTCATTCGTGTGTACAACTAGTATGTATGTATGTATATATAAATCGGTTCTGGTGCGGGTGAGCGCTTCAAGTGCGATTGTGCGGTTTAATCTGAGCCATTCATCTCGCTTTAATCAACGTCCAAGATTACAAAAAAAAAAAAAAAAAAAAAAAAAAAAAAAAAAAAAAAAAAAAAAACGCGGTGGCAATTTTGTAATTTTTGCATCTAGGTCAAAATTAAGGTGAGTGATTTTGTGATTAATGTGCGTGAATTTTGTATATAAGGTGCGCGAATCTTGTGCGTAATGTGCGTGAGTTTTGTGCTTAATGTGCGTGAGTTTGTGCTTAATGTGAATAGTTGTTAAAATTTAAAGTGTATGGGCTTTTGTTCTTAAAGTGCGTGAAATTTGTTCTTAAGGTGAGTGAAGTTTGTGTTTATTGTGCGTGGGGTTTGTGCTTAAGGTGCGTGGGGTTAGTGATTAATGTTAATAGTTGTTGAAACTTAAGGTATGTGAGTTAATACTTAAAGTGCGTCAATTTAATGCTTAATGTGCGTGTGGTTTGTACTTAATGTGCGTGAGTTTGTGCTTAATGTGAGACATTTTAAAATCTTAAGTGTGAGTTTTATGCTCAATGTGCTTAATGTGCGTGGTTTTTGTACTTAAGGTGAGTGATTTGTGTTCTTAAGGTGCTTTGTTTGTGGACTTAATGTGCGTGGTGATTTGTGTACTTAAAGTGCACCATGTTAATGCTTAAGATGCGTCCAACCGCACGGGAAACATCAACCGCACCTGAACCCTTCCCTATAATTAAATACCAAAGTGCAAGTAAAATCACTTACAAGTGCACCTACTTTCACCTATAAGTGCATGTAATTTTGCCTTGTTAACATTCACTTCCCGCAAACATTCATGCACTTAGGTACACCTACTTATAACTATAAGTGCAACTACTTATAACTATAGGTGCACCTACTTTCACCTATAAGTGCATGTAATTTTGCCTTGTTAACATTCACTTCCCACAAACATTCATGCACCTAGGTGCACCTACTTATAACTATAGATGCAACTACGTATAACTATAGGTGCAACTACTTATAACTATAGGTCCATCTACTTTCACCTATAAGTGCATGTAATTTTGCCTTGTTAACATTCACTTCCCACAAACATTCATGCACCTAGGTGCACCTACTTATAACTATAGATGCAACTACGTATAACTATAGGTGCAACTACTTATAACTATAGGTCCATCTACTTTCACCTATAAGTGCATGTAATTTTGCCTTGTTAACATTTACTTCCCGCAAACATTCATGCGCTTATGTGCACTTACTTATAACTAAAGGTGCAACTACTTATAACTATATGCGCACTTAGTATTGATGCTCAGTGTAAATTTTACTTGCACCTATAATACATTTTACTTGCACTTCGATGTTCAATTATTTACGAAAATGACACTGCGTTTTTTTTTTAATCCATTAGATCTGGACATGTGTCACGCGCTGATTCGTTCGCATATTTCCTCCTGGGCGCACCTGAGTGCAATTCTATATATATATATATATATATATATATATATATATATATATATATATATGAGCGTGAATTGGTTGTTGGATGTTGGAAACTTCAACATTCAAAATGTAAGGCAAACTAGATGAATAGCGTAATGCATAAAAACACGTAAACATTTTCATAAAATAATCTTAATATATTTTTAATTAACAAAATGATAATGAGTTTACCAAAAAAAAAAAAAGATAATGAGAACTCCGCAATTCACAAGATAATGAATATATTGGCTTATACTTGATTATGTAATCATTCACAATTGTTTATACTTTATAGAGACTATACATTTATTAATGGGGTAGCCCCTATCTATTAGCCTTATTCTTGGTTGCTATCATTTGTTTACACCTCTTGCGAAACTTAATTCGATTGGAATCATGCCAGGCCTATATATTTTTAAAGAATTACTCTAACAATATATACATACATCCAACAATATAATTTATAAGAAAAGATTCTTTGAGGTTGAAGATTTAACTTTTTGGAAAGAGTATAAGAAAATGTTCTTGACTTTCGCACAAACTAATAATTTATAAGAAAAGATTTTTTGAGATTGAAGATTCAACCCTTTTGAAAAAGAGTATAAAAAAATGTTCTTGACTTTTTGCACGTACAAACTAATTGGTTTATCGAGAAGTGAACAAATTAAATCAAGAAAGAATTATAAAGAAAATATAAATTTAATTACGGAGTATAAGAAATTACTTCTCTGAAGATTACTCAATGTGTTTCATTTTGATCTAATCACGGCGTTTAATTGAAGAGGCTTAGGTTGAGCCATGGTCCTCCTTTTCCACAGATTAATTTCCTTCCTTGGTTCCAAAGGCAACGTTGTTGATCCATGTCCACCAAACATTGGAGCGGAGAAAGGAATACTAATCTCTTCATATTCATCATCACTATCATTATCTAAACAATATTTCCGACCGTGAGGCACCACCTGCGCCGTCGCCGTGGATGCCGTAGTCCAATTGAAATCCGACAGTGTTTCTCGACCGCTTGCAAAGCGCTTCATCTGACCCAGACTCGGCGCGTCCTCGCAGACACGGAGCCTAGAGCTGTCGGCCGTAGCATCAGATCTTCTCCCATGAAATATTTTCCCAATAGCCGCCGACGAAGACGATATCTCCTGAAAGGACGTTGTAAGAGACCTGGCATAGTCTTTCTTAGTAGGCAGAGGGTCTACACGTGGCTGCTGCCTCTTCTGTTTGGCCATCTTCTTCTTGTGCTTGATTTGACCAATGCATGAAACTTTGGGCGAGCTTGGTTCTTGGGTATCCATACCTGATTTTCTTCGAGCCTCGGCCGGAATAATGGATATGATCGGACCTGAGAATCCTTTGTTGCAATGGGTTTTGATATCCGCCGCCGCCGCGGGTCTTTTATCTCTGCCTGGGCTGAATGGCAAGCTTTGGAACGAGATGGCAGCCGATTTTGGCAGGAACTTCAAAATCATCTTTGCCTTTGATGGCTTCACTGGCTTTTCCATTGCTTAAGATCGATATGTATGTCGATATAAGTTACTATAAATATACAGATGTTAGTTTGCGTTTTCTATCTGATGTTTGGAGAGGAATAGAAGAATAGTGCGTTTAAAGAAACGGTCTGAATCAGGAGGGGATTGACTTTGTCAAGAAGAGGGTGAGGGTTTAGTCAAAGGAAGATAATACTATACGTCTGACTGGGCATAAAAATCATGTTGTCTTTGTGGCTTAGCCAGCCAGTGTTTAACAGGGTAGGCGTAATTTAATATATGCAAAGTATACTAATATATAATACACGTACTTTTGGTAGGATGCATATTTCCGCCACATGGTACTTATACCAGCTTTATAAACTATGTATATTCAATGGTCTCAAACTGCGGCGAAATTCAACTGGTTTGACTATTATTATGAGATGATGATAAAATTAAAACATGCCTAATTAATAAATTCATCAATTTGTTATGCACATTGTGCTCCTATGGTCGGAGTGACTTATTCCATGTGCAGTGAGAGGTCATGAGATTGAGTCTCAATATAATAAATTCATCAGTTTACTCTTGGTCTTATTATTATTTTTATTTATTTTTCCATAAAAAATGATACTCCGTATTTGATAATTAGTGAATTGTATTAGTTGTTTTGAACCATTAATAGAACATTTAAACCTTTATAATAATTACTTTTAGCAATTTATTTATACGAATCAAGTAATAAAATCAATAATGTCACATTGTGTATGTTCAGATGACAATTTTGTTATTAAGCTAACTAGTATAACATCTGTGCGATGCACGTATAATAATATATATTCAATAATTAAATTATTTATCATATTTAAATAATGTAAATAAATAAATAAATACTCAAAATATATATTATATAATATTCTAACAATATCTTATTATAATAAAGTATGTACATTACCTAATATCAAATTTTGCTTTAATTTATAATGATTTAGTGTTGAGATTACTTTTTTTTTTTAAGGATCATATATTATATAATATTCTAACAATATCTTATTATAATAAAGTATGTACATTACCTAATATCAAATTTTGCTTTAATTTATAATGATTTAGTGTTGAGATTACATTTTTTTTTTTAAAGGATCATATACACATCACTTGTGTGCTATGCTCATAATATTTGTTATATATATCTATAAACATAAACATTAATGTTCATAAACACTAAACTAAATATACATATATGTATTTACATTTACGCTATAGTAGCTAAGTTCATAATGTTCATAAAAACAAAATTTAATGTATATAAATATTAATATAGACGCATCATGTTTAATAACATTCATCTCGTACTATATTCATAATATTTTTTAAAAAAATTCACTTTTGCTAATTGTCTAATATCATAGTTGCTTATAGAGTTTTTTTTTTTTTTTTTTTTTAATTTTATATAAGCATAAAATGGAAATTATACACTTGTGTTTACCAAATATGCCCATACATAACATATTTCATAAAATAGTCCAACTTAAAAAAAGTCAAGGATGAAAAAGATCACATTCCTTTATTTAAAAAAATCACATTAAGAAACAAAAAAGTTTGTTTTTCATGGAGGAAAATGACTATTTCATATTTATGGTTTAAGGTTTATAGTTTTAAATAAGTATATAATATATGAATATAATTTTTAATAATACAGAATAAAATTTATGGAGAATTTGTTAATGTTTAAATTTGTGGGGACATTAACTCTTTATGCTTTAATAGATTGAGAAAGTATGTAGGAAGATATTATGTTACTATATTTTTTTAAAAAATGTAAAAATTCATGAATAAAAAAAATACTTCATGTACTCTAAAAAACTTACGCTCACATTTTCCTCCTATTTGTGTTCAACTTTTATTGGAGGAAGAAAAAAAAGATATGGATAGACATCATGACCCCTTATAAAATCGAGCAATCAAAACATGTCAAATATAGAGAGTACAAAATAAGAGTAGAAATTTAGAGTACATGTAGAATTATTCATTGTGAATTTGTGATAATATGTTACCTCTCACGTCATTTTACATTTTACTGCGAGCATGAGACAAACATTTATTTTAAGGGTGTGTTTGGACTTTGGAAACTAGTTCGAATTTCCAGTGTCTAGAAAATCAAGTCAACAAAAATTGATTTTCGTTGACTTTTGAAAATATGCTTGTTTTGAATGAAAATGACTTTCATTTTTTTTTCGAAGTCATTTTATAACTTTTACAGCAACATCATCACCACCAGTACAAGACCACACTACCGTCCCACTCCAGTCACCACCGTCATACCACCACCAGTTGTTGTTATTATTATTAGTACCGCCACCACCACCACTATACCACTTATTATTATTACTAGTTTTTTACGCGCATTGCGCGGTTGGGATAATGCCCAATGTTTTTTTTTAATAAGTACTTTAAAGTATATCAAGGCAGGATTATATTATAATTGTTCATGCATAAATAATTGAATGTTGAATTTACGTATTTAAATAGGTAATTCTAAGTTTACAAATGCAAGATAATATAGTCAAGATTGATTATAATTGTCAATAAAATAATTGTATAGGTATGGTTGAAACCAAATACGGGACATAAGGGAGAACAAATAAAAATTAGGGCATAAAATTTTAAATATATACTAATATTGAAGAGCTAATTGTTGATTGTCAAACAATGACATTGCAATGTAGTTTTTCACTTCAATTTGTTGTGTAATTTGAATACTCTTTTTGTAAATAAATCTCCCAAGTAGTTAATATGATTGGCATAATTATATATATATTTTTTAATTTTTTAAAACAATTATTATTATTATTATTATTATTATTATTATTATTATTATTATTATTATTATTATTAAATATATGTATACCCTTAGGTCATTTTACATGTTAATCTAAAAAGCTAATTTTTTTCAAATATTTTTTTACCAACCGTTGATATAATTCGCTGGTCAAATCAGCTAATATAATCCGCTAACGCTAACCACTAACTACTGATTGTCAACAAGGACTTTACGAGATAGTTCTCACTTCAATTTGTTGTGTGATTTGAATACTCTCTTTGTCAACAAATTTCTCAAGTAGTTAATATGATTGACTTTATTAATTATATTTTTCTTAATTTTTTCATGGTATTAATAAAATACTTGGTAAATAAATATATAACATTATTTTGTATTATAACTTTGATATTTAATTAAAAAAAATAGTGCACAAAAAAGATAATAGGCAATGTAGTGAATATGATCAATGGATGAATTTGAATGTAAAAAATTTTTACATTGGAGAAAAATAAAGACAATATAATATAATAAAATTATTTCTCTTAATTAATTTATTGATAATGAATAATTTTTTTTTTAATAAAGACATTGTAGGGACAATGTAGCGAATATAATCAATTGATGAATTTGAATGTAAAGAATTTTTATATTGGAGAAAAATAAAGACAATATAACTAATGAAATTATTTCTCCTATTTAATTTATTGGTAATGAATATTTTTTTTTTTGAATAAAAACATTGTAGATACATAATTCTAAATTAAAGATCGAAATGCATATTTATTATTTTTTGTTGTAACTACTAAATTATTATTTAATTTAATAAAATTAAAACAGAGTACTAAATATGCCAACTTTGATTGGGATGAGGTTCGAACTTCGAACTTAAGACCTTTCTTATTGAAATCAATGAATAAGTTAACGGTGGACTAACAGAAATTAACGGAAAAGATAATATTTAACGGAAAAGTTAACGAATAATCATATTCATTAAGGATAAATTAGTAAATCTTAAGAAAAAATTAAAATATGATCCTGAGCCATTCATTTGATTAAAAAACTTGACCGCCATTTTTTCTACCTATAATAGTCCTAACTCTCTTGGGCTCTTATTAGTATAGTAGATTACTTCGTATTATTATCATTATTGTTCTGAATTACAAGACTTTGATTAATTATTTTTTATTATATTTAAAATTGTTATTATATTATTATATATTATTATACATGTTATATTTTAAATAAAAAAATTAAAATACTTAATTATATAATTATACTCATTTTTAAAAATATAAATCAAAAACACCAAGTTCATAATACAACCAAATACTAAAAAGAAATATATTTTTCGTAAAATGATTCATTTCCCAACCCCAACGGCCAAATATATATACACACACGCAAAGGCAAAGCCCGCCTGGGTCAACGTTTTTTATTTATTTTTTTCTTTTTAGAATCAACTGTAAAACCTCCGGCGACAAATCGGGTGTGATGTGCAAATTCACTGATCGATCGATAAATCTAGTGTTAGGATTCCTGTAAATTTGTAAACTGGGCCGAGCTGTTTAACAATGGCGAAGCCAAGGGGGAGTAGGCACCAAGGGAGGAGAACCTCGACCATGTCTTTGGTGCTCTCCATGCTTCTAATGCTGACACTTGTGCTTCTGATGCTCCTCGCTCTAGGAATACTCAATCTCCCTATTGGATCTGACGATGAACCCTCTTCTATCCGGAGTCGTATCAGATTCAAGCGCATGTCTCTAGATGTGTATGGATCGTTTCATATATATGCATACATGTATGATACCTTATGAATTGAAGTATGTAGCCGTTGATGATATCTAATAGAAGACGGGTTTTGATGCAGAGTGGAGGATGATGGTTTCGGGAAAAGGGGAGAACAATGGACTGAGATTCTTTCTTGGGAGCCTAGGGCTTTTGTTTATCACAATTTCTTGGTTAGCACGATGTTCATTTTCCTTTATTTTATGTACTATTGTTTTTCTTTGTATTTTTATGGTTCTTTGATACTTCTGAATTTAATTTGACTGTTGGCACCTTGTTCTTAATAGTTATCTTTCTGAGAGGTTTCACCATTGCATACTGTGACTATGGATATTTGAGTTTTTGGCATTTCTATGGTATTATTGTTTCTGTTAATGATAGGTGGGATTTTATTTATATTTTTCGATTTTATCTTTATATTTTTTAAATTTATTATTATTATTATTATTATTATTATTATTATTGTACAGTAATAAATTACTTTCTAGGATTTTTTTCAGCAATTGGTTTTCCATGGACACTTGTAATATGCTTATCTGATCTTGATAGTTTCATTCTGCCTGGTTTCATATTTGCCATTATTTCATGTCCTTACTGAAAAGACAGAGTAAGAGATGATTAATTTTGCATGTCCTCCATGTTTTAACAGTCCAAGGCAGAATGTGAATACTTGATAAATTTAGCCAAACCTCACATGGCAAAGTCTACTGTTGTAGATAGCAAAACTGGTAAAAGTAAAGACAGCAGGTCTGAATTGCTAATGCCTCAATTCCCGTTCATGATTTCCACCCCTTCTGCCTGATATTGAACTTAGGATTTTATTGTTTTTTCATTTCAGGGTTCGCACAAGTTCAGGAATGTTTTTAAGGAGGGGACATGATAAAGTTATTAAGAACATTGAGAAAAGGATAGCAGACTACACATTTATTCCTGTAGGTATGAAAACATTGATTCTCTTCAATCATTTACCATGTTCCACATTAGATGTTTTGATCACTGTTACATGAAAATGCAGACATAGTCACATAGAATACCGAATGCCAAGTGGTGCTAAATTTACTGATATAGCTGTACTTATAATCTAGAATTGCAATCATATCATTTACAAAGACTTATTGTCAGTTTATATTTGGTTGGTTGGGATCTCTTACTCTTAATTAGTGTGATTCTTCTTACCTCTATGCATCCTTTCACTGATTTAATTAATTCATTTTTCCAAGTTTCCTAACTTTGGTAAATTGACTCAGAGCATGGAGAAGGTCTACAAGTTCTCCACTATGAAGTTGGACAAAAATATGAGCCTCATTTTGATTATTTTCTTGATGAATTCAACACGAAGAATGGGGCACAACGTCTAGCTACTCTACTCATGTATCTGTACGTCTCATGCATCCTTTATTGTTTTATTAGATGCACTTACAAACATTTATTGAAGTGAACAATGGAACTTGATGTATTGATACCTTTAGATATATTGCAAAAAGGGTTTGTAACTCCTTTTATATTTTGGGACTCCGCAGTTCAGATGTTGAAGAAGGGGGTGAGACAGTTTTTCCTTCGGTGAAAGGCAATTTTAGCTCTATGCCTGGGTGGAATGAGATGTCAGAATGTGCGAAAAGGGGCCTTTCTGTGAAACCAAAAATGGGTGATGCGTTACTTTTTTGGAGCATGAGGCCTGATGCAACCTTGGACCCATCAAGTTTGCATGGTAAATGTGCTCTTTTTATTTTTTATTTTTTTATTTTTCATTACAAGCTGTCAAATACCCATCCTTATTGAGTTGTTGGTATACAATCCAGCAAAATGAGAAAGTGGGATCAAGAAAGATCAACATTTTGTTTATGATCTACTTTGTGTTAACTGTTGAGATGGCAGTTTACTTTCAAGTATTCTGTGGTTGATGACAAGTAGATATCACTTGTGTGTCTGTACAATTACTATAATTTACTGTGTTTCCTGTTATTAACCAACACTAAGATACCTGACAACATATATTAATACACATCACATGAACTCTATTATTAGTGAATTCTAAGTGCTTGTTTGGCTATCTTACTCCAAACGCTAAAATGGAAAAAGGCTTTTAAAACCAAATAAAATTATAAAAGGCAAAAGCTAGTTTTGAAGAAGCTTCATAGTTGAAAAAGCCTTTGTGTGTGTGTGTGTGTGTGTTTTATTTATTTATTAAATAATCATAATGTCCAGCCGGCCAAACAAGAGCACTAAATCGTCTGCATATTTGTTCTTTTATAGAGACCTTCACTTTATGAGATTGCCTTGTAGATTTCTTCCTTGTTTTAAACCAATTTGGTTCTATTTATTCTAGGTGGTTGCCCTGTTATAAGAGGAAACAAGTGGTCTTCTACTAAGTGGATGCATGTTGGTGAGTACAAGCTCTAATTATTTTTCAATAGGTGTTACAGTTCTTTGATGGTGCCTCTAGGTATATTTTGGTAATTGTCCAATTCTAAATTCTACATTTGAGCGAATTCAAATTTGTATTTTTTCTTTACTAGCCCCATCAAAATCTTCTCTCTGTGTTTAGAAGAGGTATACACGCTTTTTAACTTTTATTTTCCCCTCAAAGTTGTTATGAGCTTGATGTAGGTTAAGAAGCAATACAAATTAATAGAGATTCATTGCAAAGTTCTAGATGACTCGTTAATCTTTACTGATGATTGAAGGTTGAAATGATAGCCATTCACTGTAGTGAATGGCAAATTATGCTATGGACCTGGGTCCACCTTGTAAGGTGGATTCGTGTTCAAAGATGCACCATTTACATACTAAATGTTCACAATTTTCTTTTTAAAAATTCACAATTTGTGATGACTTTGTAATGTATTTACATTTTACAAATTCTCAAAACTTAGAAAACACAATTTATATTCTAGAAGTTCACAATTCCAATACTAAAATTACCCAATTTAGGACCAGTGTCCACTTTGCAACATGGACCCGGGTCCATGGCATAACAACTGGTAATGTATGGTCTAGTTTATTTGCTATAGGTTCTATAGATTTGGTACATGTTTTAGCTATAGGCCGTAGAAAGAAGATACGACTTGTATGTTTTACTTTGCAAATTATGCAGTTTGGAAGTGTTGAGAATTATCCCATATATCATTGTTTCCTATTTCGTGAGCTATTGATGCAATCCATATTATCTTTTGCTTCGCTTCCCTTCGAGTTGTGGACAGCAATAGATACTATTTTTTCATTTGCTTAGGCAAATATTAAAATCTAAGCAAAAAATAAACAAAATTATATTTTCAATAAAATTTCAGTCACTTTTTTTAGGCAAAGAAAATAAAAATTGTAAATGTGGGTTATGATGAGACATGAACCATAGTTGGATATACCAAGCGAAATCCCATGTTCTGAGACAAGTAGCAAATATTAATTCCTAACCGTCTCGAGTCATTACCATAGTGAAATTCAGAGTTCGTTTCTTACCATATTTGAAACTTGGACTCTCTCGGAATTTCTATAAGCGAGTTTTTTATTATACCGGTAACCTTTTCCAAACGTATTCAAAACCTATGTAAATCTACTACTTGAGTTGAAATGTACATACCTTAGTTTTGGTGGTATTTGGAATTCGTCTTTTACCATATTCGAGGACCAGACGCTTTTGAAAATCATACCGGCGAATTTTTTAGAATATCGGTGACCATTTTATAACGGACTAAAAATTTTGTGGAACTCTTTTACTTGGGTAAAAATGTTCATAGCTCAACTTTGGTGCAAATATGAGTTCGTTTATTACCATTTTAGAGGACCGAAATCTCCTGAAAACCCTATCGGCAAGTTTGTCAAAATATTGATGACCTTTTCTGAACGAGCTCAAAACTTGTGGAAGTGTTCTGCTTTTGTAAATGGCTGTTAGCCGTTATCTGATTATGTTAATTAGAGGGTATAACTAGTTGGTAAAATTGATCGATTTGTAAAAATGTGTTTGATAAATTAGTTGTTAGCTGATAGTTGTTTGGTATATTTTTTTCTTAAAAAACTAATTAAAAAAGTTGTTTTGAACAATTTTTTGAATTTTAGCATTTTAGAGTTACAAAAATTAATTAACCAAACACTTATATTGATTTTTTAACCAAGTCAAACAATTAATAATGATCAAATAAGTCAAAATTAATTGATATACTAACTATTTTATCAAACAGTGCCAGTAATTTTTTTTTTTTTTTTAATGCTACTGACTCTATTACAATGTAGTATATGTTCATAACTACTTTGTGAACCTATTGAAGCACGGCTCGAGCCCACAACCTCCCATATGGGAGTGCAACCTTATGCCATTAGACCATAATGTCTTGGCATGTAATGAATCTTTGAATTGTAGAAAATAAAGATAATATAACTAATGAAATTATATCTCTTTATAATAAATAGTGAACAGAATATTTCGTTGCTAAAGTTTATACAAACAAAATGTATAGTTATTTAAGGGAAGAAAATAATAAAATAAAGGGTAAATAAGAAAAATCATAAAAAAATTCTGAACCAAAATAATATGAACCATTCATTTTAACAAACATGGTCATCTTGTAAAAATCATTCATTACAAGTGATGAAACATTATTCACGTTGAGAAAGTTGTTGGATGACTTTTTTCAACAGAAACAAAAAGACAATGCAAAAGCGGAACTTTTTTAAATTCGAATATAAAAAAGTTTGAAGAGACAATGAAGAACAATTATAATATAGAAAGACGAATTGAAGGTATCACTTTTTTCCGTCTAGGTCGCAGCTCTCCATTAAAGCCAAGGAGATATAGTTGAACACCAAAGCATTTTCGGGGCGGCTAGAAACTATGCCGGAAGCTTGGAACCGGTGCTTGCAGGCATGGAAGGTGATCTGCAAGAGCGTGGAGTTGATTTGCTGGATGGCGTGCTCTCTCAACGCCTGCGCTTTGTTCAAATCCGCCTGCGCTTGCTGTCTGATCCTCTTGGTGTTCGCGAACTCTTGCTTCGCTAACTCGATCTGCTTCTTCGCCTGCTGTCTCGCCTCCTTCGCGTACGCTTTCTCCTCCATCCCCGCCCTCAGCTGCTCCCGCGCCTCCTCCTTCATCGCCCTGAAGCTCTATTTCTCGTTCTCCGCCGCCTCGCCGTTGTTGCTCCTCTCAGTGTAGTTCGAGGAGCCGATGGAGAGCTGCAGCTGAGTGCAATGGTCGGCGTCGTCTATCTTCGACGATACCGAGACATCGAGGTGGCTCGACGACGAGGTTGTCGTCAGGAGTTGAAGCTCTAGGTTGTGATGATGATGAGGATTTGCATTAATGGCGGCACTGACGACGTTATAAATTCTGGTTCAGATTTATGCACCGAGTAAGGAAAAGACGATTTTATCCCTCGAATTGACACCCACTTAACCAGCACTTAATGGAAGGACCTCAATTGGAAAAAATTTAATAGTGGGATGATTAAATTGTCCAAATTAAAAAACGGAGACTAAATGTGAAAAATCAACATAATCGGTGGACCATTGCTGGAATTAACTCTTAACTTAAACATCCTCCGGTTCTTCATAGTTTTGAGTTGTTGACGGTAGAATTAGCTGTTAGGAATATAGCGGAATAATGCGGAAGCGAAGAATCGAAAATTGAGAATTATAGAAGTTAAATAATAGGGAAATATATAAAAATGACAAAAGAATTAATAAGAATGAAAATATAAATATATATATATATTACTATCAAGAATATAATATATATATATAAGTATGCTATGTGAGAAAGAAAGAATGAATATAATATATATTGAATTGATGTGTATTAAACAAAGCAAAACACAAAGCTATTTATACATTACAAACAAGAGAAATAATCGCATGAAACATGGAAACGTGTTGCGGCATGGCGTGAAGAATCGAGACCAACAAGGACGTGCATGCAACGTGGAAGACTTATTCTCCATGCATTTGAGCCACATAAAATAGTATTTTCTAACAATCTCCACCTTGGATCAAATTCATCTGTGGAAATTAACAACTGGAATAATCGACTAAACTCAAGCACTGCTTGAACTTAGCAATAGGAAAAGCTTCAGAATATCAGGATGGATCACCATCAACTTCCTGTGTGACTGAAAGTGCATAAGCAACTATGTTGGTTTCATCATCACTAGCATACCTAGCAGGTTTTTTAATTGTCCTCCTAGGACGATCCATAGCAATGGAATACTCTCGTTGTGGCTCGACGAGAGGTGTTGTGCTAGTAGATGCATCATCTTTAGTATTACCGTCAGCAGTAGTAACACTATCAATAGGCCTGAATTCAAACTCCACCTTCTCACCAGTACTCTGTGTCTCACCTGTACTGGGAACTTTTCCAGAAGAAAGTAGTGCATTTTCATCAAAAGTGATATCTCGACTCAGAATGATTTTCCGAGAATCAGGAGACCATAGACGATACCCTTTTGACTCAGAAGCATAACCAAGGAAAATGCATTTGACAGCTCTCGGATTTAATTTACCCGTACTGGAATGAGCATAAGCAGGACATCCAAAAACTCTTAAGATAGAGTAATCAACAGGATTACCTGACCAAACTTCCTCTGGAATTTTGAAATCAAGGGATGAATGTGGAGATCTATTTACCAAATAGCAAGCAGTAGAAACGGCCTCGGCCCAAAAATCACGTCGTTTCCATAACCCAGCATTAGAGAGCATACAACGCGCTCTTTCCAATAGAGTCCTGTTCAAACGTTCGGCAACACCATTTTGCTGGGGTTTACCAGGCAAGGTCTTGTGCCTGGCGATTCCATTTGCCGCACAAAAGTCATTGAAATCTGACTCACAGAACTCCAAGCCATTGTCTGTCCTGAGCTTCTTGACTTTTTTACCTATCTGAGTCTCAACAAGTATTTTCCACTTCTTGAAAATAGAAAATGCCTGATTTTTATGTTTCAGGAAATAGACCCAGACTTTACGAGAAAAGTCATCAATAATAGACATAAAATATCTACAGCCTCCCATAGACTGGAATTTAGTTGGTCCCCATAAATCAGAATGTATATATTCCAATACATCTTTGGTACGGTGTGTAGCAGTAGAGAAACTAACCCTCTTTTGTTTCCCAAAAACACAATGCTCACAAAATTGTAATTTACCCGTACCTGAACCAACAAGGAAACCTTTCTTGCTCAGGAGATGCATGCCTTTCTCACTCATATGCCCCAGACGCATATGCCATAATTGAGTGAGATTCGCATCAGACATCGATGAGGATACCGCTACTGAACCTGTCACAGTACTGCCATGCAAGACATACAAGCTTCCAGAACGAGAAGCTTTCATGAGAACAGAAGAGCCTTTGATGACCTTTAGAACTCCACCTTCAGCTATGTACTTGCACCCCAGAGATTCCAAGGTGCCCAATGATATCAGATTGCGTTTCAAATCAGGAATATACCGAACATTGGTAAGAGTCCTGACAACGTTATCATGAGTTTTAATCTGAACACTTCCAATTCCACTAACCTTGCATTGGGTATCATTACCCAGCAAGACAACTCCACCATCAACCGGTTCCAGAGAGATGAACCAATCTTTGTGGGGACACATGTGGAATGTACAACCAGAGTCCAAAATCCACTCAGTTTCACTCCGTTTCTCACCGGAGCTAACAGATAACAACACATCACCATCTGAATCACTTTCAACAACACTAGCTTCAGCGGACTTCTTTTCTCTCTCTTGCTTGTTTTTCAACTTGAAGCATTCAGTCACATCATGACCATGCTTCTTGCAGTACTTGCATGACTTGTTGGACTTATGTCCTTTGGACTTGGATCTAGAATTTTTATTGCTACTCCCTGATTCAAGTGAACGACCCCTTACGGTCAAGCCTTCACCTTTGTCCTCAGACTTAATTTCAAAGTCAAACTTTTCTTTGGACAATAGGTTCGACTTAACATTGTCGAAAGTAAGGGTATCACTACTATTACCATACAGCATAATTTCTTTGAAATGCTTGTATGAATTAGGGAGAGAGACAAGCAATAAAACAGCACGATCCTCATCTTCAATTATGACATCAATATTTTCCAAGTCCAATAAAATAGAATTGAATTCATCCAAGTGAGATTTAATCGAAGTACATTCCGTCATACGGATTGTGTACAGACGCTCCTTCAGGCGTAGCTTGTTCGCCAGAGACTTGGCCATATAAAGCGACTCCAGCTCGGACCATAAATCTGACGTAGTCTTCTCACTTACCACTTCACGTAGAACCTCTTTAGACAGGCACAATTGAATGGTTGAGCGTGCCTTGTCATCCAAATCTTCCCAATCTTCATCTGTCATTGCAGCCGGTTTCTTCTTCTTCCCAGCTAGCGCTTTCTTCAAACCGTTCTGGGTTAGAACGGCTTCCATCTGAACCTTCCAGATAGAGAAGCTAATTTTCCCGTCGAACTTCTCGATATCGAACTTAGTGACAATCGACATCTTTGAAAATAATTCTCAAATAAACCGCTCTGATACCACTTGTTAGGAATATAGCGGAATAATGCGGAAGCGAAGAATCGAAAATTGAGAATTATAGAAGTTAAATAATAGGGAAATATATAAAAATGACAAAAGAATTAATAAGAATGAAAATATAAATATATATATATATATTACTATCAAGAATATAATATATATATATATATAAGTATGCTATGTGAGAAAGAAAGAATGAATATAATATATATTGAATTGATGTGTATTAAACAAAGCAAAACACAAAGCTATTTATACATTACAAACAAGAGAAATAATCGCATGAAACATGGAAACGTGTTGCGGCATGGCGTGAAGAATCGAGACCAACAAGGACGTGCATGCAACGTGGAAGACTTATTCTCCATGCATTTGAGCCACATAAAATAGTATTTTCTAACATTAGCAATAAAGTCAATTTATTTTGTTTGTCAAAATTCAGTCCATAATTCTAATTTCTACTTTGCTCAACAAAAACTGGTTACTGGAAAAGCATGCATTTCGACCATTAAACGGGGAAGAACTTTGTGTTGTTCTGCGGGCAACAATCGAGTACACCAAAATCATGCATTTTGACCATTAAACAAGAAATAATTTTTTGTTCTTCAGCTCGACAGTCACTGTCGAGCTGGTTCTTTGTTCAGACTCCGCAGGATCGCTGTGGCCTCGCCATCAATAACAAGCGCGCCATCACGTTTGAAGCATTTGGTGAAAAATTTGACCCTGACAATCAAAACGAATTGAAGAGCTTGGAGAAGAAGGAACATGGAATCTAGATGAAAATACATGAAATTAGGGGGGATTCAGCCAGGGCAACCTACACATGTTTTGCTTTCAGAACCTTGATATTTGTTGCACATATTTCACCAACTATCTCCTCTCCAATGTACACTGGCAACTTGAACTGCAACATTTGCGAAACATATACAGCTCCCGGCTACAAGTATTTCCAAACACCAAAAGAGAAATGAGGCTTAAACAAAATGACTTGATAAAAGTATAAAAAATTGATGAGTCGGACTTACAAAATTTGAAGCGATGGTTCTTGGGAATAAGGAAGCGACCAACATTCCAGGAACAAGCCTGTCACTGAATCCAGCAAGCTTGGCACATTCTGAGTCAAAATGCAAGGGGTTGGTATCATGACTCAGCTTCGAGTATTCAACAACATCTACTTCCGTAAACACCCGAGCTTGCTTCAAAACATCCCCGCATTTAAGCAAATTCGTAGCTGCCAACGAAGAGAAGCCGGAAGTGGAAACGTAACTCCAAAACGCACGTTTCACCAACATTGTTCAATTAACTCGTCAACAACTTGTTGAAATTAGGCAAAGAAGCAGACATCCACTCGCACCTATACAACTGAAAATCTCACAAACAATTCATCAAACACCTTACCGGCATTGCAGAAAGCAATATCCACTCACCACCCGCAAACTAGATGGCCAAACAGATTCAAGTGAGCTCGTGCACCATCCAAAGGTGTCGATTCCAGTATATATACGTAGAGATACACGCATAGCAGATACAAATCAAATGAAAGACGAGAAACACGTACATGTGGCTGTGGAGTGAGATGAGACTTGAAAGCCCGCTATGGCGCTATGCTAAATTAAATTTAAAAATGCATTACTTTTTTTTTTTTAAGAAATAAAAATGAGTAATATGGGCTAAATATTAAGTGGATAGTGGGCAGCTGGGCTTAGCCGTCAGAGAAATAGATTTTTTTTTTAATGACTATATAAGCTAGGCAGCAATTATATCGTGGGCCATGGCCTACAAAGCTTTGTGGATCATGGTCCAAAAACAGTGCCGTTTCTTTAAATAAAGAAACGGTTGTTGTTACAGTTTAACGAAACTCGTATTTTTGGTGTGTTAATTACAAAATGAAACTACATTGTATCTAAAATGAAATTGTCTCACATATTGTTTTTATATTATCAAATTAAACTATAATTGAATTGAAATGAAACTGTAGGCGTGTTGAAATGAAACTACAATATATATAAAATGAAATTGAATAACATTTCACATTTTTGAGTGTATATTGTGTAACAATTAACAAAGCTGTAGTTATATCGAAATTATCATGTAGTTGTGTTTTAATGAAACTATGGTGTATGGTGTATATAAAATAAAATTAAATAAAATTTTCACATATTTGGGTGTTATAATTATCGAATTATATTAGTGGAGGGTTGCTGCTACATTACCCCTAGATGATGCTTTAATATTGAGCTGCGGGTTGCTTGTTTTATACTGGGTGGATTTGCAGCTTGGGGCTGTATGGAATTGTGAAGAAATATGGGAATTTTGGCATTCCAAAATTTGATAGGTTTTGGAGTTGTTCTTGGGTCAATATTATGGCACAGGCTAGAGTGGATTTAATTGAATATTAAATTAGACTAAGTGTAACACTTCTGGGTTCCCCAATTCCTGCTGACCCCTGACCCCACTTTGTTCCACCCTTGGTTTCCTTGTTCCTGGTTCTACTTGGTTACACATCGTTGTGCCTAGACCCCACTTTGTTCCACCTTCCCTATTCCTGGTTCTACTTGGTTCCACATTGTTCCATCTAGACCCTGGTTCCCCAGTTCCAGACCCCACTTGGTTCCAAGGTCACCTAGTCCTTCCTGGACCCTTTTTTCAACAAATTATTCCGACCCATGCATGTGATGGGAATCGATCCTGAGACCTTCCATTTGAAGGTCCAACCCGGGTGCCATCAGACCACAAGGGGATGGCGAGTTCAGGGTTTAGGGTTTAATTAAGAGTTAAGTAAATAACACAATATATTTATGCCCTTATATATCATTTTACATGTAATCAGCTAAAGAGTAAACAACTAATTTATCAAACACATTTCTATAACCAGCTAATACTATCAGCTAGTCAAACCAACTAACACAATAAGCTATCAGCTAACGGCCAATAGCCAATTGTCAAACACCCAACTAATACAATGAATAAATAAGTAAATAGCATAATTCGTGTGATTTGTTTTCCCTTAATTTTCTGCTCCAATCCCATGAATTCTGCACCATTTATGACATGCAAATCTGATGATTGATTGATTGGTTACTTTCTTTTCATCTTGAATTAGTGCCTTATTAGTCTTGCTCAAACGTTTATCATTTTCTCATATTGTTATCCATAAAAAAAAGAAATGTCATTGGTGATAAAACTAGAGCTCATGATGAATGAAAATAAAGTAATTTAATATTTAGACCTTGTTTGGCAATTGGCGTTAGCGGATAGCGGATTGTGTTAGCGGTTTTGACCAGCGGATTGTATCAGCGATTTATAAAAAGATGTTTGGTAAAATTAGTTGTTTCGGATAGTAGTTAACATGTAAGATGACCTATAAGGGTATACATATATTTCATTAAAAAACAACAACAACAACAACAACAATAATAATAATAATAATAATAATAATAATAATAATAATAATAATAATAATAATAAGGGGAGCCCTTTGTTTTCTAGCTTTTCCCACATCTGTGGGAAAAGTCGGATTGGAGGATTTGGAGCCTTGAGGCTCCTTATAAAGGAGCCTTGAGGCTCCTTATAAAGGAGCCTCAGGCTCCTTAAATTTGCATGCACATCCATTGATAGGCAAGTATTATTGAGGGACAGCATCGTTTTTGTTTTCAGCGGTTTGGATGTAAGCACTATGTCCCGGTTCTGCAAACTCAACCCGTGGCACATCTCAGATGCAAGCAAAACATTGTCCGTGATGGACCGGCCTGCTACAAACCCACTCTGCTGCGGGGACAACACTCGGGGCAAAACCGTGGCCATCCGGACCACCATAAGCTTCGTTACCAACTTGCTACTGAAATTGCACAAACTGATAGGCCTATAATCTGCAAAGGTCTCTGGACTCGGCTTCTTCGGGAGGAGGACGATGGATGTGTGCGTGATAGCCCTGGTGAATTCCTGTCCTGCAAAGTAACTCCGAACCATGCTGACTACATCACCCTGAATGATATCCCAACAGGCCTTATAAAAGGCCCCCGAGAAACCATCCGGCCCTGCTGCGCTCGTAGAGTTCATCTGCATTACCACCGCCTTAATTTCACCCACCTCTGGCACAGCTGTTAACTGTTCATTATCCTCATCAGTAACCAACCGTGGGACACAATCCAATCTGGCCAAATCAAACCCCCCGATCTCGGCGGTAAACATGTGCTCAAAGAAGGAGACTGCCTGATAAGCAATTCCCTGTCTGTCCTCCAGCCATATCCCTTCCCCATTTTTCACCCTGTGTATGTATAGCTTACGCCTGCGTTCCTTAACAATAGAGTGAAAGAAACGGGAGTTTCTATCCCCATCCTGTACCTCGGTGACACGCGCCTTTTGCTGCCAAAATTCCTCCTCTATTGCAATCTGTTTCTGCAGCAAAGCAACACCCTTTTTATATTCAATTAAAGCATTTTCATCATCTGGGTGCTGCTGCAAGGCAGCCTCAAGGGTCTGAACACTGTCCTCATATTCCCGGAGCTTCACAAATATGTCCCCGAATTCAGTCTTGCTCCACCTGCTCAGAACCTTACTCAGTCTATTCAATTTGGTGGCCATTACAAACATTGGGCCCCCCTCCACAGGGCCCTCCCAGCTATCACGCACCACCCTCAGAAAGTCCTCGTGCTTGATCCAGACATTTAAGAACACGAAGTGCTTCGGTACTACCTGCGTACTCAAAAGATCACAGCATATCAGCAGTGGACTGTGGTCAGACGTGGACTTTGACAAATGCCGCACAGACGATTTGAAGACCGATTCCCATACCGAAGTAAACAGAAACCGATCCAAACGCATCCATATGGCCGCTTCCCTACGTCGCCCATTCCACCAAGTGAAACAGGAGCCGTAGTAGGTCGCATCAATCAAGTCACACGTGCTGACACACTCCTGAAAATCAGTAGTCTTCCGATGCGGGTACGGAAGGCCACCTTTTTTCTCGTCCACACTTAACAAACAATTAAAATCACCTGCGACCGACCAAGGAATCCCTCCGGGAATCAAGGAGTAAATATGCTTCAACTCAGCCCACAACGGGTCCCGGAGGCGTTCCTTGGTTTTGGCATAAACAAATGAGAGCCAAAAAGGCGTAAGCACAGTAGAATGAACACATGAAATAGTAACGCACTGCTCGGTTTGACTCTCAAATGTTACTGCCAAATCATTATTCCAGAAAAGCCAGATTTTATTATTAACAGAAGCAAAAACATTATCAAAATTAAAGCGAATCCTGAAGAACTCAAGCCAATCAGACGAGCTGAAAGGCTCGAGTAGACATAAAACAAAAGGCGCGTGCATTCTCAACAGCACGCGGATCCTGCGAGCAGAACCCCGAGAGGACACCCCCCTCACATTCCAGACGAGTAGCTTCATACAGAAGATAACACACCCGGCCCTTCAGGGGGGTCCCCTTCCTGCCTCATAAAGCTATACCGACGTCGCACTGAGCCAATCCCTTCCCGGAGGTCTAGATGCTCATATTCCGTGTCAGAACCCGAGGCCCATTCCTCCGGTTCATGATCAGCCACAGGGACGTCAGTATCTGACCACGCCCTTTCCCTCCCCCTCCTTGGCCCCCACGGGGCCTCCGGGGGTGAATCGGGCGTTTGAGCCGCCAACCAGAGAGTGTCACTCGGAGGTGTGCATGGCGGCGTCCCCAGCTCAAGGGGACCATAGAAGATAGGATTCGGAACAGGAGAAGGGGTAAAAGAGAACGATACCTGTTGCGGGCTCTGAATATCCGCCCGCTCTCCCGTGAAGAGGCTATCATCCTCATTACCTTCTGGGATAGTAGACAAACGGCGCGATGAGAGGCCACTCCCTATCCCAGAAGGCGTCATGCAGTCAGATTTCCCGGTAACAACCGGGGTGGAGGCATCCACAGTAGCCTCCTTTGTAGTGTCCACAACAACCTCTTCCGAGGCGAGGCTATCATCCTGTAGCGCAGCAAACCCATTACTAACCGGGACCGGGGCACCAGACCGGCTAGTAGTTTGGGCCCGCCACACAAGGTTACCTGTACCTGTACTTGGTCCCCGACTGTTATCAACTACCGGGGACTTGCCTTTCACCTGTTTTTCTTTATTTCTTTGCATTTTTCGTTGATTAGCCGTCATATCCCGGTGGTCCAACACGGTGGCAGTGCCCCGGCCCTGGCCACCCGAACTCTGGGTAGCTTTCTGAGCCTCCACCGCGGGACTAGGACCAACACCAACCATTGATGCCGGCACTTGCGGAGCCGTAGTGCGCGAGGCTCGGGCTCCGCCACCAGAAACACGACAAGTGTTCGCCATATGGCCCTGTTTCCTGCAATTTAAACAATACGGGGGGACACGCTCATACTCAATCATTTGCCAAAACCCCACGGGCTCCCGATCCGGGCGTGCAGTCCCTAACCGAATAAACATCTTACGGCATAGGGGTTTTAGCAAATCAATCTCCACTTTAACTCTCGCCACATTCGGCCGAGTAAATTTGGCCGTAGGCGTGTCCACCTGTAACAACTTGCCAATAGGTTTCACAATTTGTTTGAGGCAAGGTTCCGAGAAGCAATTGGCTTTAAGATTAGGCAGAAGAACCCACACCGGAGCCAAAGACGTCTCGTACCTTGTGTCAAAATCCATTGTCCACCTAAAGAGCCGCATCGGGCAATTTCCGTTAAAGAGAATCTGACCCTTAACCAGTGTGTTAATGCAGTCTTCCGCACTAGAAAATGCAAGAGACACGTGGCGTGGGTCCACTAAGCCAATAGTCACAGTTCCTTTCAGCTTTAAGCGCTTGGCAAAGTGTTCTCTTATAACGGAAAGAACGGGCCTGCCATAGGAGAACTTTCCAATCAGGAGGGTTTCCCCTATTTTGTTCATCTGCTGCACTTCCTTATCCTCAAAAGTTATGCAG